ACTATATTTTCGGAGGTTTGAAAACGCAGAACTAAAAAACGGGCGAAGTAACTGCTCCTAGTGCTTTAAATTAAACGAATCGCTTTGCAACCGGTATCTTTGCAAGGTATCAGAAAAGAAAATTTGATCTGCGCAGTGATTGCGAAAAGACATTTCGCGATCACAACCTTATAATAAAACGGTTATTCGAGATAGCCGAAATTCACCCCAATCGTCTGGTGGTTATTAACTAATTAAGCTAATTATCAATCGAACAGTAGTGCGACCGTTGCTATCCATCCGTTGCGATCCATCGCAGGTTCTAACCGATAGAACTACACATGCATGCAGCAATAGCCTACATTTCAACAAACTATATTTCGAACTCGTCTACGAATACGGCGGAACCTACACCACGTCACCTCGGTACACCATTCTGGGGTGGTTCTCACCAATAGGTACCGATTAGCAGTCGTTGGCTGAAGTGACGGTCCGCCGGTATCTCGGCGGCCTGGGTCACACGCATCATTTTTTTTATTGGTTGCGACATGGCGCAACTCGGATAGGGTCTACCGGACTCTTGTAAACTTCTATGAGCTCTGTGCCCGATGAGACTTTATATTGTACACGGACTGAAGTCGCAAACATAAATCATCAAAAAGACGCACTCGTGATGTTAAAGTTATTTTGTAAAATAGGATTTAATTGTAGTTTATTGGAAACAAGTAAATTATGATAAATTTTTAAAATTTTATTTTTATTTCAATTTATTTATTTTTTATGTGAAAAGTTGACAAGCGAGCAGGCGGTTCACCTGATGTTAAGAATAATAATATAATATCGCCACCCATGGACATCTGCTGCACCCGAAGGTTACGTTGTAAGGATGCGTTGACAACCTTTTGAAAATTGGCCTCACTCACCAGACAAAACGCGGAAGTATTTTTCATACTTCCACTCTACGCCGGCCTTCTGTGAGGTCGTGGTACTTACCCGGGCGAGCCTGCCTATTCATGTAACAGCCGAGGCTGCTGCGTGACCCTACCACAGTCTTTCATCATTACATCGACTTCTTCTCATCTACAGAAAAAAAAATTTTAATCTTTAGTGAAGATTGTTATGTAATAAAAAAGCAATTTATATAATTTTCTTAATAAAATTGGATTAAAATAAATTGTTTGTTAATTAATTACAAGACAAGATCTCAAGAATAGTGTTCGTGGTAAAATTGTGTCTAACACATCATCACAATTTACTTTCGAAATTGACGTGATAGTAATGGCACCAAATTGGGTAAAATGATCATAAATATCCACTTGCATGTTACTTGCCATCTTTTGTACTACCGAGAAGCGAAATTCCTCTTAATGTCAAGGATAATAGTTAAGAGACCAGAAGACGGGAATTTTGCAACTAAACTGAATCACGATTTCTGTTACCACAAATCACGTATCGATCATTACTCGCATGTTTGCAGATCAATAAATCGTAACCAAACACTTTCACTTGATTTAGCATCACGTCGCTGAGACGCAGTGAAACAGGCCATTGAGGTGATATATCAGGCAAAATATGGTATTTGAAGTATCTTAAGAACTGGCGAGTTCTAACGGTGTAGCGACGCGGTGCTAAATTCGCTTTCTCGTTCGTCAGCCCGGTTAACAAGTGGAAAGGTGGGTTTTGAATAGGACATTTTTCGACTTGAAATTATGTAGAGAAGCCATCTTTGCTGCTGCCATCAGTTTTATGAATTTAAACGGTAATTGACATAAATGTTATGTACCCAAAACACTTGTTCCCTGTAACTATTTATAAGCTTGCAGAATACATGTAAACATAAGTAGATCTATTCATTATTTTGTATGTCCACGCGTGTAGCTTAAATAATTTTATTAAACTTACAACATTCGAAATTATATTGGTAATTGATTGACATCGAATTATTTATTTTTCTTATTACATCTATTATTTTGAACCGATGGTAACTTAGGGACTTATGTAGGTATTAATTATTTTATGTAAAATTCGACGTTTATTTGAATAAATATATTTGGAATTGGAATTTTATATTTCGATTTCACACACGTGACACATAATATACTGTCTGTGATCTGTATTGAGCTCTGTCGGAACACATCATTGGCGGACTCTAGATGTTCGTCGAAAGCGCTACCACTCAAACATTACTCCGCCCTTTATTGCCGACACATGTTTATGTTGAAACATCGAACGATACGTGAAACCGTTTATTTTTGTGCATCGGAAGATTTATTGTCTAGCGCGGGACGAGTGGCTTTGTTATCTATAAGTAATGAGCTGCCTTAGATGGAGTGTTTATTTCTTTAGCGCACAAGGCGCGTACGGCTGCGCAGACGGTAAACGATGAATAGTGCGCCGCGTTCGATCCTCGACCATCCGTGTATCTTCCTAAGCTGTTACAGGCTTATTTTAACTGAAATTGCTTTCAACTTTCTCTCAATTGTATCGCGTAATCGTTACACAACTGATTAGCAGCGTGAATAAAAATTTAAAGGGTGCGGAAGCATTTTCCTATGAGTATACAATACAATTAGAAAAACCAGTTAACATCATGATATTAAAATGACCATCATTTCACTTACTTTTGGTCCACTGCTTAATAACATAGGCCACCCAAAAACACTACCATGAGAACATTACTACATCATGCTAATATCAAATTTTAAAGTACCTTTTTTATATAGAAGGTAAGTATATGTGGTTATATGATCTTTGATATATAATAAATGAATACCTAACTAAGAAAATGCTGGTACTCAAATTTAACAGGTTACAATACACTGTCCTTCTAGTAGAGCTTAAGTAATGACATAATAATGAAAAAATAAATATATTTTACTTTTTAGATTCAAGGTGTTCAACAAGATACAAGGTACAATAATACCATATCAAAAGATACATACTAACTCTAGACAAGTCTTATTCTTTCCCAAAAAAAGGGGAATAAATATTTTAAATAGTAAATATTTTAATTCACTTACCATTATAATAAATCGCTGCAATTAGTTTATTGTTTTAAATAGGCTTAAGATTGCCTTTTGTAATTATAGAAATAAAATTGCTACATTTTAATAAAATATGTTACAAAACACTAATAAATACTTTTAAATAATAATAATGATATCCAACTATTGGAAGTTCCAATTAAAAAACTCAAATATTAACTAAGAAGTTGCCAGTTAGCAACCAATCCATTAGCAAAGCTGTTACAATTAGACAATCCCAACTCAATTTAATTAGGCATTAATATTATATGCCCAGCCCTTGGCCCAGTTACACAACTTTGCTAATTTATGCCAATTTGAGTCTTTTTAATGCAAATATTGAAAGAAAATAAATAATAATTGTGTTATCTTTTAATAATTAATATTACAAAGAAAATTGCATTCACATAGTTATTGTAATATATACTCTCTTAAAATAAAAAAAATAAAAAAAAAGATAACAAAATAATATTTTATGTTATCTATACCTATAGATAACATAAAATAAAGAATCTATAATATAAATATAATATTTGAATTAGTATTTAGTGCTGTTTAATTTTTTAGAAACAGTTCAATACAAAGTTTGTTTCGTTTTCTACAAATAAGCACATTTTGTTTTTATATTTATATAATTGAATTATATCTATAATATTATATAGTTGAATTATATTTAAATTGCGTGTTTTTCAAAGGTAATTTTTCAAGTTTATGTGAAAAAAATATAAAAAAGAGATAAAAAATGAGGGTGGATCAACTTTACTATAAATCAAAGAATTCATTTAAAAAGTACATAAAACGTAACAATTAACATTGGTAAAACGGATATAAAGGTTTATTTTAAAAATAAAATTACTTTTACTGTCAAGGTACCAAATTGAACGTTTGTAATGTTTTGAATAAAAAAACCGTAACTGTTAATCGGAGTAACAGAAGATAAAAAAAGTTAAGGATAATAATTTAATACATAGGTAGGTAGTGCAAATACAACAACAAAAACGGAGGATTTCAAAAATACTGAAGTATATTAAACAATATCATGGGCGATCGATTAGAAGAGATAAAGATTTGGAAAGTACCAATAGGATACCGGTGTAAACAAAAACAATGCAGAATAACAAACGTATAAAACTAGGTGATTTGATGTCATAAAATGATTAAAACTGAAAAGAGGACACCAATCTGTTGCAAATGCACGAGGATTTATTTATAAATTTAACTTACCGGCCACAACTGTATCACTCAAGTCAAACTTCACAGGTTTAGGAAACTCCCGTAACTTTCTTCCGCTTAATTTTAATTCACCACTTAAGTAGGCATCCTCAAGAATCCTTTCTAAAGATTTCGTTAACTGACTATGAATATTATTGTGACCATTCATATTTACACACACATTTGGCCCTAACACGGCCATATTCTTTTTGAACTGAAATGAAACTGACATTTTTAAATTTGTCTATTGCATGATTACCTGACAGCAAGAAGCTTGCCTAGCTTCATTATGAAATCTATGGTATTGGCAGTTAAATAAACCGCATAAGCTAATTATGTTTCTTCAAATATATAATAATTGAGACAAACATACATTTTAATAAATACTCTATTCATGGCTCATCATATTGAATCTTGTATAATTTTAGATCGTAAAAAATATGTTATAGAGAACACAAAATCGTGCAATCATTACATGGATACATATTAAATCGTTAAGTCACTTAGTCAAGCACAAAACAATTAAATAGAGAAATAATTTTAATTTCACCTCCTGTAAGGGCTGGAAAGATCACAGAATCATTTTTTTTCTTTAATTTGTTCTAAAAAGCCTACGCGACTTGAAAAATAATGTTTTGCTTTTCGGCTTTTACTCATAGTCATACATGACAGTATGACAATGACATGCATGGAATTGACGTTTGAAAAATTGACAAATAACCTCTAATTTTAAGCACAGGAGTAATATTCTTACATACCGAGATCTGTAATTAAATTTAAAACAAAATGACATTTTTTAATTTACTTCGCATTAAAAATCTATCAAAAATTGTTAACAAAACGAATATTTGCCATACGAAAGTAAGTTGAGAAATACTTGTAATTTTCTGTTACTTATGAATATATTCTTGTAGATGCTGATTTTTGAATTTATTACATAATACAGAGCGTAATATTTATAAAGCTAATAATATAAGACAAATAATTGTCTTATTTATCAGCTGAATGACGTTAATTTTCTAAAAATGCGTTATCAGTGCCGAAATGCAAATGAATGCAGGTTAATTAAATACCACTTGTTTCTTATTAGACATAGACTTCTCTTATACCAAAATTTGTTTTGCTTCTGAATAATACATATATTGTAATAAGGCCTATCACTAATAGACTTAAGATAAGTTTAAACTTAGTTTGAATAAAGCTGGGATTAAACCAAAATATTCATGATTTTCTATGTAATTAATTAATCTTGTTTTTTTTGTTCTAGACATATTCTTCACATGTTAAATATGCAGAGCATAAACCATTGGAAAAAATTAGAAACATAGGTATTTCAGCTCATATAGACTCTGGTAAAACTACTCTTACTGAGCGAATATTATTTTACACAGGAAGGATTGATGTTATGCATGAGGTGATTTGTTTTGTTAAGTTTTATTTTTTACTTTTCAGTTTAGGTAGATCAATTTAAATATTTTGGTGGCAAAATGATAAATATTTATTTTGATAAGGATAAATATTTAAATTAACCTAAAATAAAAAAAGCAGTAATTAGTAATAATAGTAGCTGCAATGTTATTGTTATTCAGATATATCAATGTAATAAAAAATAAATAAATTTTGTATTCATCATCTACTATGTATGTATTACTAATAAAAATAAATTAGTGCTTATTTTCAAAAACTTTAAAATCTCCGAAAAATTATTATAACTTTGACAGGTAAAAGGGAAAGACAATGTTGGTGCAGTGATGGATTCAATGGAGCTAGAACGACAGAGGGGTATCACAATCCAATCAGCTGCTACATACACTATATGGAAAGAGCATAATATCAATATCATCGATACACCAGGCCATGTTGATTTCACAGTAGAGGTTGAAAGAGCTTTAAGGGTTTTGGACGGTGCCATATTGGTTTTATGCGCAGTCGGTGGAGTTCAGAGTCAAACACTTACCGTCAACAGACAAATGAAACGTTACAATGTGCCTTGCCTCGCATTTATAAATAAATTGGATAGATTGTCTGCTAATCCAGAAAGGTAAGGTTTTTCATTTCAACTAAAATAAACTAAAGTAACAGTGTATAGTTTTCCACTGCTGAGTAAAGGTCTTCTCTGCAGATAGGGAATTAGGACCTAGTACAGTAGTAATTTCCAGTAGAAAAAATTTAATTTTTTGTTATACTATGTATAAATTTTTAATTGACCATTATGGTATATATATTAATCAATCAGCTTTTCCTTTCAAATTGATCCGCAAATACTAAAATACATATTCAAAAAAATAGTTCATTTAATTAAATGCTACCGGAATATAAAACGATAAATGTCATTTAACAGTTTACATGAAGATGTCTTCTTTAATGACTGGAAAAATCTACTTCGATACCTATGATTTGAAACGATTTTTTATTATGAAATTTCATTATTCACTTTTGTGTATGTTATTAATTACAGAGTGCTAAAACAAATGCGTTCGAAACTAAATCATAATGCCGCCTTTCTGCACTTGCCTATTGGTCTAGAAAAAGATTGTCAAGGTATACTAGACCTAGTTGAAGAGAAGGCAATGTATTTTGATGGTGATTATGGTGAGAAGGTCCGCTTGGATGAAATACCGCAAAACTATAGAGTTGAAGTAAAGGAAAGGCGTCATGAACTAATAGAACATCTATCTAATGTGGATGACAAATTGGGTGAGATTTTTTTTGTTTGAAAATCCCAAAAATATTCCATATGCAGGGTGACTGATGAGACACGATATTTAAGAAAAGCAATCTGTACTCGATTCTCATTTGATGTATGTAATAAAATTAGGTACTTCATTTTTTACCAAATTTCCTTAATAATACATGAATTGTGGATACATTCCTGAAACTGATAAACTTAACGTTTCATATTCAATTACTTAAGTTTCTACTCTGCTTTCTTACTAACTTTAATTACATAATTAATTACTTAAGTTTACTAAATACTCAATTAATATTTATTTTTAGTACTTATTTTTTTTTCTCCATATATGATCGCTGAATATCAAGTATGGTTACTCGAATATGGTTAGTGTCTCACCAGTCACCCTGTATATTTTGATATAATTTATAAGTACTGGCTGGCCATATATTGCTGCGGCTGTGTGTGTGAATGGAAAAGGAGAAAAAAGAGATAACACATGATTCTTTTAATATATTTGTTTAACAAGATTTATTATGAATGAATTAAATATTTTTTTTAATATCAACGCTATGGGTAAATATCAATACCAATACAACATTGTACCATAATTTGAAAGATATTTTTTGGTTAAAAACTTTAACTAACAATTAATTTTCGTTTTTTTTTTGTTTTTAAAAACTGTCCTTACTGTAAGATTACATTATCTTATGTTATTAGAACATACAAGGACAATTACGTTCATAAATTTCACATGGACAGACACCCAGATCCAAAACAATTGAGTCTCAGAGAAATTGTTGTGCCATATGGAAATAGAACCCACGTCCCCGGGAAGCCAATATTGACAACTACGCCACGTAGTCATCAAAATGTTTTTATTTTGTAAAATATTAATGTATTCTCCGTTAATCGACAGGTGAACTGTTCTTGGAGGAGAAGACGCCCACCATTGATGATCTAAAACACGCAATACGTCGCTCAACCTTGAAACGAGTGTTCACACCAGTGCTTTTGGGGACCGCCCTGAAGAACAAAGGGGTCCAACCGTTGCTCGACGCTGTGCTGGATTATCTACCGCATCCCGGCGAAGTCGAGAACACGGCCATTTTAAATGAGAAGAAGAGTGCCGGCGCGCAAAATATACTTCTGGATCCCGCTAGGAATGGAGACAAGCCGTTCGTGGGGCTCGCCTTCAAATTGGAACTGAGCAAGTTCGGCCAATTAACCTATCTCAGATGCTACCAGGGTATGCTGAAGCGTGGCGAAAATATTTATAACGCCAGGACCGGGAGAAAGGCATGTATTTTGTGGCTAGTTTACGATTGTAAGAATTTAAATTATTTTTTTTTTACATAAAAAACATTGCTCTTACTTTAGGATAACATTATCCTTTGTTGTAAGGACGTTTTTACAAACATAAATTTTACGCAGACGAACACCCAGACGCGAAACAACTATCTGTAGAACACACAAATAATTGTCCCGTGTGGGAATCGAACCCACGACCCCCGACGCCGAGGACGAAACCTTGGCAACTGCGCCACGTGTTCATCTGAAAGAACTTAATTCATAGCTTTAGACCATGTATTAAAATAAATCGCGAGTTAATATTTAGTACGGAAGTAAACAAACTTTTTTGGTTTGCATAACGTTTTAAATAAATGATGAGTCGGTGGCGCCTTTATTATAATTATTCCGAATCTGGGTGTTTGTTTGCCTAGGAGGATTGACGTCAGGCAGGCGGCCGGTCTTAAAAAATATAGCCAAAACTGAAGCAACCCCACCTTTGTGGGATAAGGTCAGGAGGTTGATGATGATAAGGTTTTAAATAAATAAACAACTATATTTATGATGTACATTATGATCTTATGCTTGGTATGTTTGTTGTAAAATATCTAATATCTCCTGTATATATTGTGAAATATCTTAGGTCAAAATCTCCCGCTTGGTTAGAATGCACTCTAACAATATGGAGGAGGTGAACGAGGTGCTGGCCGGCGATATATTCGCACTTTTCGGCGTCGACTGCGCCTCCGGAGATACGTTCGTCAACGACGTGAAATTGGACCTGTCGCTGGAGTCGATCCACGTACCCGACCCCGTGGTGTCGATGTCGATAAAGCCGAAGAACAATAAGGATAGGGACAATTTCTCCAAGGCTGTCGCGAGGTGCGTCTCAATACCATTTCCCGACACATTTTGTTAGAAAATTATCCTTCCAATCCGGTTCGAAGGACCAACATTTTTGTTTTTAAAAATTGATATTTTTATATTTGGATATTAAAATTGATATTTATAAATTATTTGGATATTTGTAATTATTGGTTATTTTGATACAATCTTCGATATCAATCGTTGTATTCATGATTGCAATTAGTTTTTTCGTCGATATTCGTTACAAAGCAAATTAGAACGTTTTCGATTTAAAGTATACAGATTACACACAAATGTTAGAATTGTTTTATACACTTTAATTTTTCTCACCATAAAAGTTAAAAATAACATAATATTTTATAGTGATAGATAAAGTAGAAAGTAAAGTTACAGCCTATACATGTCGCACTGCTGGGCAAAGGCCTCCTCTATACAGAGGGTATCAGGGCATTGTTCGCCACGCGGCCCCACTGCGGATTGGCGGACTTCACATATCTTCGAAATATTTTTTTGTTATTATTTCGAAAATATGCAGGTTTCCTCACGATGTTTTCCTTCACCGCGGAGCACGTGATAAGTCAGCACTTAAAGTTAAAAACTTCATTGGTGCCGGCACCGTGGATCGAACTCAGGTTGCTCGAGTATATTGAATTACAGGCGAGCGCCCGGACACTGAGCTATCACGGCTCATAGTGATAGTTAGGAAGGCTTAAAATGATAGGTAATTTATCCCTAGCAATCCTAATTTCCCCATCGATATCGACACATTTATACAGGTTTCGATATGCGATTTTTTAATTTAAGAAGATGCCAAGCGAGCTGATGGTTCATCTGATGTTAAGTGATAACAGCCGCCCATGGACATTTTCAACATCCGTAGGGTTACAAACGCCTTGCCACCTTTCAACAAAGTGGGCTCCTATTACCTCACCACCAAACGAAACGCAGAAGTATAACACTTCGAATTCGCAACGGTCTTCTGTGAGGTCGTGCTATTTCCCCGGAGGGATCAGCCATTCAGCAGCCGAAGCCATTCGTGCAACAGCGAATGCTAGTTGGCCCTACCACAGTATAGAAGTGAATATAGAAATATAGAAGAAGAATACGCTTTGTTGTAGGTTCACCAAAGAGGACCCCACTTTCCACTTCCGCTACGACGGCGACAACAAGGAGACAATTGTATCGGGCATGGGCGAGCTCCATTTGGAGATATACGCGCAGAGGATGGAGAGGGAATACAACTGTCCCGTTGAGCTGGGCAAACCTAAGGTCGCTTTCAGGTACCCATTGTTAATTTTACTTATTGTATTATTTATAATTATAACTAGCTGCCCGGAAAGACTTATTTTTTTTTATAGTATTAAAACCTTTCGTGGACCATACAAAGATTTAAATATAATAAATTAGCCGAATTTGTCCAGCCATTCTTGAGTTAGGCGCTTACCAACATTCATTTTTATTTATTAAGAAGATAAAGAAGATGATGTGTAACTCGGTGTGTGAATGCAGAGTTGGGCTAGAATCGCGGTTACTGTAATACGTTATATTTCCCAGGGAAACAATGATGTCACCGTGCCAATTCGACTATCTTCACAAGAAGCAGTCCGGTGGTGCCGGCCAGTACGCCAGGGTCATCGGAATCATGGAACCGCTTCCGCCGCAACAAAACACAAGTAACAATGTAGATTATTAAATACGTTGAGATTTTCGTCGGCGTGGCAATCGGTTTAGCTTAGTGGTTCATCTGGGCCTGATTCTCGATGAACTTTTCATCTACCTTTTCTGCAAATTTTAACGGTTCATTTTAACTGCAGATATTACAACTACAAAAACTTAACATAAATTTGAAATAAAAATATGCCATGCAGTATTGCCACGGCTCTAGTTCAAAGTTAAGGTGTTGTTGAGCACTGACACTTCATTCACATATTATGTTTATACTTATATTTTTATATCTCTTGCTCCTACAGCAAGGGCAATATTTTTAAATTGCAAGAAGTAAAGGAAAAAAGGATAAAAAAGTATAAAAAACTAACGCACTACATAGGTATAACGAAACCAAACAACCCTAAGCCGCATCAAGCAGCTAACGAGCGTTTCCCCATTCCGTTCGCAGTGCTCGAGTTTGCGGACGAAACGGTGGGCACGAACGTCCCGAAGCCGTTCGTGCCCGGCGTGGAGCGCGGCTTTCTGGACACGTGCCAGAAGGGCTTCCTCTCCGGCCACAAGGTGTCCGGCGTTAAGTTCCGGCTGCAGGACGGCGCCCACCACATCGTGGACTCCAGCGAGCTGGCCTTCTTCCTCGCCGCCAAGGGCGCCGTCAAAGAGGGTGAGCGGCATATCAATGCCACCGTTGGGGGTCAGGGATGCTAAAAATGAACTGTCGAAGCTCGCCTTCTTGCTCGCTGCCAAGGGCGCCGTCAAAGAGGGTGAGCGGCATATCAATGCCACCGTTGGGGGTCAGGGATGCCAAAAATGAACTGTCGAAGCTCGCCTTCTTGCTCGCTGCCAAGGGCGCCGTCAAAGAGGGTGAGCGGCATATCAATGCCACCGTTGGGGGTCAGGGATGCCAAAAATGAACTGTCGAAGCTCGCCTTCTTGCTCGCTGCCAAGGGCGCCATCAAAGAGGGTGAGCGAGGAGTAACGCCACCGTCGGTGGTCAGGGTGCCAAAAAATGGATTGTCGAAGCAGGGCAGGGCTTCCTTCTCGCCGCTAGGGCTGTCGTCAAAGAGGGTGAGCGGCGGATTATCGCCACCATTGGTGGTCAGAGGTGCCACAAAATGGATTAAAACCGTTGGACGGCACCCTGGGTGTCCAGCGTACTGGTCTTCTTCGTCGCTGCCAAGGGCGACGTCTAAGAAGGTGAGTGGTATATCAATGCCACCGTTGGGTAACAGGGGTGTCAAAAAATGGATTGTCGAAGCAGGTCTTCCTCCTCGCCGCTAGGGCTACCGTCAAAGAAGGTAAGCGCCCGATTATGCCTACCTTTGGGGGTCAGGGGTGCTCCATGAATACCTCCGCCCATGGACATCTGCTACACCCGGGGGTTGCAGATGCGTTGAGAACCTTTTGAAAATTGGTTTCCGGCTCACCAGACGAAACGCAAAAGTATTTTTTTACTTTTATTTAACCACTTTACGCCGGTTTTCTGTGAGGTCGTGGTACTTACCTGGACGGACCTGCCCATTGGTTACCACTACCCGGCCGTACCACTTGCGAATTAGCGATATAAAAACTCATATAAAAATTTAAATCGCCAAATCCGATTTCTCGCGCCTACAGTGTTCGAGGACGGCGCGTGGCAACTCCTGGAGCCGATCATGTTCGTGGAGGTGAACATGCCCGAGGAGTTCCACGGAACAGTGGTGGGCCAGCTGAACAAGAGGGGGGGCATCGTCACTGGCACCGAGGGCTCCGAAGGGTGGACGACCATCTACGCGGAGGTGCCGCTCAACAACATGTTCGGCTACGCCGGCGAGCTGAGGTGAGTGCGCCTTTTTCTAGGATTCCGTTTCTGTTCGACTTCGCTGTCTGTCTGTCCGTCTGTCATCAGGCTGTATCTCATGAACCGTGACGGTTAGACAGTTGAAATTTTCCAAATGATATTGTATTTCTGTTGCCGCTATAACAGCAAATACTAAAAAACAGAACAAAAAGTATTTAAGTGGGGCTCCAATACAACAAACGTGATTTTCTGACTTTTTTTGTAGATAATGGTACGGAAACGCCACTTGAGCGCACTCGGCCGATTTTTTGCTTGATTATGTCGGATTACGTGAGCCGTGATAGCTCAATGTCCGGGCGCTCGCCTTTAATTCAATATACTCGAGCAACCTGAGTTCGATCCCCGGTGCCGGCACCAATGAAATTGTCAACTTTAAGTGCTGAATTATCACGTGCTCAGCGGTGAAGGAAAACATCGTGAGGAAACCTGCATATTTTCGAAATAATAACAAAAAAATATTTCGAAGATATGTGAAGTCCACCAATCCGCAGTGGGGCCGCGTGGTGGACTATGCCCTGATACCCTCTGTATAGAGGAGGCCTTTGCCCAGCAGTGGGACATGTATAGGCTGATACTTTACTTTTACTTTACTATGTCGGATTATAGATGCACCGATTAAAATCCCCACGATGTTCCTACGTGCATAACACCACGGCCACGGAAACGGTTTCGCCCACTTACGCGACCCTCTCAGCAGCCCCCTCCCGGGGAGCGACTCCCCTCTCCTCCTGGTGAGGCGCGCATTCATCGCGCCTTCCTTTTCGGCCCCACCTTGAGGTGTCTGAACCTGGTTATTGGCCAATGTTATATGGCCACCGGACCACTCTTGCCAACGGTAACAAAAGTAAAACGCGAAAGATTAATACTTCTCCTTCACGTCAGTGCTCGGCGAGGCCGCGGTACTTCCCAAAGGGGAAGAAACTTTTCCAGGCAGTCAGCAGAAGGTCCATGCAATTGGCTGAATTAAATAAATGAATAAATAAGACGCCGTCTTCGTTGGAAACCCGGCCGCTTAATTTACCAGCTTGACGATACGTTTTCCATCAAGCCATATTCGTGTATTTGTGACTTGCTTAATAGTAAGGAGCTTGGCGTCGTAACAAACATATTGAACATCCCAATAATGAAACAGCAGCTTAGAAAACTATATCAGATTAATTTACCTCTGTTTAATTTTTCTTTCTTTCATATTATATGCAGATAGCTTCATGGTATTCAGTGCAGCTGGGCAGTTAGTAAAACGATTGGAACGCTATTATAATTTCCTACTGCGAGGATATACTGAAAAAAAAAAAACTCTGAGGGAGAGCACTCGAAATTTATACTACATAGATATATATATTAGAATAGATTTCCTGAGCTGCGCTAACTTACCGTCGAAAATAGTACCTATTCATTCTAAACGTATTTAAAACGTTTTAATATATTACAAGTACAATCTTTAACTACTTTGTAATAACGATATAACAAAACTATAATATGTAATCTTGAAAAGAAAAAAAAAACATGAAATGTTTTTTTTTTTTATGTGAGGAGGTGGCAAGTCAGCTGGCGGTTCACCTGAAGTCAAGTGAAATCCGCCGCCCATGGATATTGCAACACCCGTATGGTTAAAGATGCGGCCACCTTTTAATAAAGTGAACCCCGGCCACCTCACTCAACTGTTGTATTTTTTTTAAAGCAATAACAATATCGTTAAACGAGTTTCCCGCCAATACGTGTTTTGCTTGTTACAGATCGATGACACAAGGCAAAGGCGAATTCAGCATGGAGTACAGTCGCTATTCACCTTGCTTACCTGAAGTCCAAGAGCAGCTGATCAGGAAGTACCAAGAAGAAACCGGCACGTTGCCCGAACAAAAGAAGAAAAAGAATTAACGTTCCGCCTAGATGATTTTTAGGATAATTCTATTTATAAATTATAATTTAAGTATGTATCATAGTTTCAATAGTTACCAATGTAAATTATGAAAAAATAAGCTATAAGTCGTTGTTTTATTTAATAGATTAATAGAATCAAATCAGATGTTATAGTCGATCTAATCTAAGAATTATTTTTTGGCAGACTCAGATAACATGGTCCAAACAAGAGTTTTTTTTTGTTATATATAAATAAACAATCGGTTAAACTATAAATAATTCTGTTAAAATGTAACACGAATAAAACCTTTTTATCACTATTGTTTTTTATTATTAACCTTAGATTATTATAATTATGCGTCTAGATAACGTGTCGCCTGTTATCAGATGTCAATTTCATTGCACTGTTTCGTATGTTTGTGTGTATAAACAAGGGGATACCGAGTAGTTTACAATTAAAATGGGGAATTTTTTGTACATTGCTTTGTTTTGTTTTCATTAGATTAGATAACATGTATAACTTAATATATTTTTTTTTTTCTAAAAATATTGAGAATTTTCGTAAACTATATTACTAATGTTTTTTTTATAAAATATGCTGAGCAAAGACAGGGCCTTCTACATTCGGTTCTCCCAAACCCATCTAGTGGGTCCTAAATAATTGTTATATCAAAAAATTAATACTTCTTAACTGCTACTCACTACGTTACTTCTGCAAGTAAGACATAACTATAGTTTTTTTTAGAAAGAAAAAACAACGTTAAAACCATGAGTAAAAGCATGTATTTTTTATAAAAAAATATAAAAAGGATTGTTAAAATGTAAATGGGCTTTCTTGTGCAAAAAGTTCCCCGAGATCCAACGACCCTTTTCAAATATTCCTTGTCAAGGTCAAGAGAAGGTGACATGAATATATTATTTCTAACACTGATTTGCACGGGGACTGGGTCGAAATTTATTATGGATTAAAATCAGAATTAAATCGACTAGGGACTATGAATATCAATGAGCTTTCATCGTTTCATATATTTTGTAATGAATTCAACTTACTTTTATTAGAATTCTATTAGACTAAGGATGGAATTTAACTAGATTTTGTCACTTGATTTTTCAATAAAATTTTTGTTAATCAAATATAATATTACTATATTATGCCACTTAAGGTCGCGTGAAAGTGTTTTTGAATGTTCCTTAAATATAATCCACAGTGGAAAAACATTTAGCCGATTATTTCACGTAACTAATGACAAATTCTCACATTTCAAATCGGGCGTGAATAAGGTCGCGTGAAAGTGTTTTTGAATGTTCCTTAAATATAATCCACAGTGGAAAAACATTTGCGTGAATTAATTGTAAGACCTATTAGACTAGACTCTAGACAAACAATAAGCCGAAGATTACAGCTGATTAAAACGTGACAGTTTGGTTTATTGTCTGTATAAATAGCGATGAGGCCGGTCTGTTCAATGCCGAAAGGGAGCAATTCATTGTGAACCCAATCACAGCCGCTCCTTCGTTTTAGTACGGGTGTTAAAAACAGGTCTTTTTATAGTAGCCTGGTCTAGTTGAATAATAAGGGAAAGCAGTAAATATTATGAGGTAATTATAGGAGGAGGATATTATTAGAAAGTCATTAATTAGATTTACAAACAACTTTTATTGATGTTTTTAAAATTTACTTAGATTATAATAAAATGTAACTACGTACCTATACGCAGTTATTTCATCACATTTAATATTATTAGCCTTGAAGGGTGGTCAAAATATATAGGTATAATATTATGGAGAAATATATGATAGTTAGAGCCGTGATAGCTCAGTGTCCGGGCGCTCGCCTTTAATTCAATATACTCGAGCAACCTGAGTTCGATCCCCGGTGCCGGCACCAATGAAGTTTTTAACTTTAAGTGCTGACTTATCACGTGCTCCGCGGTGAAGGAAAACATCGTGAGGAAATGAAATAATAACAAAAAAAAATGTATTTCGAAGATATGTGAAGTCCGCCAATCCGCAGTGGGGCTGGTGGACTATGCCCTGATACCCTCTCTATAGAGGAGGCCTTTGCCCAGCAGTGGGACATATATAGGCTGTTACTTTACTTTACTTTACTTTTATATGATAGCTATATAAATTGGAAAATTCACTGGATAACTTCTGTGGACAAGTACCAAAATTAGTTATTTATTTCTCCACAGAAAGCAAAGAAAATAAGCACGTGTTTCGTGCATTTTTTATGTGAGAAGCTGGCGGCAGGGTTTCGAAGATACGTTGTCACCTCTCAGGCCTAAGTCACCAGACGAAACGCAGAAGAATAACTCTTCCAGTTCACGCCGTTCTGCTAATGCTATTTTTAAAAAAAGGAATACGCAAGAATGTATTTTTATGTATTTCTTATAAATGTATTTGTTATAGACTATAAATATAAATTTATAGAATTAAATAATATAAAATTAATATTGTTTTATGTTTTCACTTCTTTCGGCAGTCCCCATGAGACTGTAATGATGTTAATGAAGTATTTTTTTTACGATAATGATGTCAATATCTACAACTAACTATTACAGAATAGACATCATAAATAATTGTGGTAGGGCTACGCACTGGTGTTCACTGTTGCACGAATGGGCAGGTCCGTCCAGGTAAGTACCACGACCTCAAGGAAGATCGTCGTAACGCTTCTGCAACCCTACGGGTGTCGCAAATGTCCACGGGCGGTGGTTATCACTTAACATCAGGTGAACCGCTAGCTCTTTTGCCACATAAAAAAAAAAAACTAAAACTTCTATAAAGTGAATAAACAATTGATTAAAATCATTTTGTACGTAATAACTAGATATCAAAGCTTCTTTATCTATTTATTTTAAAATTAAACTACCTTACTTAATAATTAAACGGTACCAATACCATTATCATTTAATGCTAGAAACTCTTTAAACGGTTTACCTTACTTAATTGAATAGAAATTTGTGGGCGTAGACTTTAATTAAATAACGTACTATATCCATAGTAAATTTAATCCGCAATTAATCGTAATTAGTTGTTTAAATCTCTTTTCCACTGTGAATAGTACCTACATTGACGCCTACATATATTTTATAAGATGAAGCTTTTAAGACAATGTATGACCTATTATTATGATTATTTGATTATTTATTTACCTATATAATTCTTATTCCCGCTAAACTGAAAACATTACTTCACCTTATCCTTGCAAATATAAATAATATATGTTATTTAGATTATATTTTAATTACAAACAAATAACTTTTTCATGATATATTACATCTTACATCTTCCAATCCATAGCGCCAAATTATCTCATTAATAAAAACTATTTTATTTCTCTGTGAAGCATCGGTATATATCTATATTTTTTCCTTATTTTGGATCTCTAGGTAGCATGAAATGGAGGGCTTTCTGGCTTCATATTTGAATTGAAACTTCTTTGGACGCATGAGAGACAAATGTTAAGGCCTCGTCATGAAAAATTGTCTCAAAAAATGTCATATTCATGAAGCTTGCATCACGCAGAGTCCCGGGATTGTAGTATACTAGCGACCCTCCCCAGCTTCGCATGGGTGCAATGTATTATACATATAAATCTTCCTCTTGAATCATTCTATCTAGTAAAACAAACCGCATCAAGATCCGTTGTGTAGTTTTACAGATCTAAGCATACATAGGGACAGACAGACAGCGGGAAGACTTTGTTTTGTATGTACTATGTGGTGATGCGACAGATGTAAAGAATTCAGATGTATCTATTTAAAATATTATTATATAATATAATGTGTACGTAAATATTTATTGATCATTCATAACGTGACTTAGGTACGTTACAGTTGTATAAAGTAGTTATCATATGTATCTTACGTACTTTTAATACACTCATATCTACATATGAGTGTATATAAAGCACATAAGATATTTCAATTGTAAGAATTTTTTTTAATCTGAATTTCATTTTATTTCTCTAACATTCTCACTCTGTCACATATTTTTATTCCTAATTTACTAATCTAAAAGATTTCTAATTTAATTTCAAATTAATAAAGTAAAAGTACGATGTTAAGTTATTTTCACATCCTACTACTGGATCATGGTTTTTTTGTTGAAAAATCAATTTATTAATCTTAAATATTTCAAATAACCATTATTCATTGCATTTTTATCGGTACACGTGTGATTTGTGTAGGTAGGTACACACACCTTTTTGTTAATTTTTGATTGTGTATTTAAAGTTATCTACATAATAACTCTTGCATTTTATGAATAAACATATTTGCATATTTCATATTTCACTAGCGTGTAAACAATGAATGTCCTAGAGATAAATTAAGTCGGATGATAAAGTAACGACAGTAGTAATAAAGTGGCGACAGTGACGAGGGGCAGAAGTAATTTTATCCATTACAGTAAGAAGACGTATAGACATGTGCAGACATGGCCACGACAAAACTGTTATAGATTTTCTAAACTTAATTATAAGAAAAATACCCAAAAAATTATAAACAACACGTTCTACATGTTCCAGTAATTATGATCAATCAAAAGGATCAAAAATTATGTGTTAACCTAGTTTATAAATCGATAGCCTGTTACACAGTTATCAATTTTCAAGGCCCATTTCCTTAGCTTTTTTTAACTTTACCCTGCATGTTTACATGCAATGTAATGGAATCTTTTAACATAATTTTGACCGACTTCAAGACGCCCGATTAACTTGAAAATTTCCACACATTAATTTAAGAAACAATGAATGTAGTTTAACTGTGGTAGGAGCACGCGACAGTCCTTGCTGTTGCACAAATGGGACTCACAGAAGACCGGCGTGGAGTGGAAGTGTTAAACTTCTGCGTTTCGTCTGGTGAGAGAGGTAACCAGAGCCCAATTTTTGTTGGGGGTGTTGCAATAATCCATGGGCGGCGGTTATCGGTAACCGCCAGCTCGCTTGCCACCTTCTCGCATAAAAAAATGTATCATAACATAACCTATTGTACGCATCTTGGTTTCGT